GGAGCCTTCATCGGCAAATACATAAATAAAACAATACCAGACACACAAAATCCCGTATTTGAAAAAAAAAAAAAAACGTAATGGTAGACAAAATAGACAAGTGTGACAGACACCGATAGTGGCAGTTGTGAGCGGGCGGGACACACAAGGTAGGTGACATGATTAAACTACTGTGAAGCTATAAAACATCAAGAAAAGATATACAACTGAACGAAAAGCTTCACAATATAACGAACACAAACAAAACGTAGACTGGTGAATCCTCGATCAAAAACAGACATGTAGACAGATGGATGGGTGGATAAAAAGCTAAATGGACGAACCGACAGAGAGATGGACGGACAGACATAGAGATAGACGGACGGACGGATGGATGGACAGACAGTCGGACCGACGGACAGAGACAGACAGAGACAGACAGAGACAGAGACAGACAGACAGACAGACAGACAGATAGATAGGCGAAATATGACATACGAAGTCAACGGCTGTTCTGAAACGTGACAGCCTATATACCCTTTGCGCATATATACCCATTTACTCACTAACTCGCTTCCAACACACACACACACACACACACACCTAAACTAAAGTTAACTGACACACACACACACACATATATACTCACACATAAACGCGGACAGTAAAATACACCACAATAAAACACCGCGGGGGTAAAACTTCGAGAAAGAAAATAGAGGGAAAGGGGGGGGGGGGCACTCAAATTATCGACGAGTAGGGGGGGGGGGGGGGGATAAAACACGTGCCAGGTTGATAAAACAACCATTTTGTATTGACCTGTGACGTGCGGTGCTTGTCAACACTTCCCGGCAGGCCGCAGATGTCGATTCCGGGCTGTGTGTCTCTGACTGATAACAACGGGTAACGCGCGTTTCCTGTACTCACTTGCAACCAAACACACGGTACATACCGGCCGCAGCACACGCCGTCATATTGACCCAACCGTTGTCGCGGCTACAAGACTTGTGTCTCAGTTCTTGCGGTTACATGATAAAATGGCCGGCATTCACCGGGGAACAACAATACTGACAGCAGGAGGAACTGAGTTTTCGCTGATTTGTTGGATTAGGTGAAGCCAGGCGGAACAGAAGGTAAGGAAACAAGTTGAAACAGTTTTTCAGGGGGAAAATAAGGTGCCGGTAGTCACCAGAAAGTGTCTATTAGAGTAGCCTGAGAAAAAGAAATGATGCCGAAAAAAAAGATACCGGTACTGCGTCCGCCAAAACCACTGGAATTACCAAGGCTAAAATCCAGAACTAAACCAAAATTGTTCTGAGTATGAAATCGCTGAAAGTATACGGAGTCTTAAACCTCCCAACAGTATTATATCGAGCAACCAATGAAAGTATACGAAGTCTTCAACCTCCCAACAGTATTATATCGAGCAACCAATGAAAGTATACGGAGTCTTCAACCTCCCAACAGTATTATATCGAGCAACCAATGAAAGTATACGGAGTCTTCAACCTCCCAACAGTATTATATCGAGCAACCAATGAAAGTATACGGAGTCTTCAACCTCCCAACAGTATAATATCGAGCAACCAATGAAAGTATACGAAGTCTTCAACCTCCCAACAGTATTAAATCGAGCAACCAATAAAAGTATACGGAGTCTTCAACCTCCAAACAGTATTATATCGAGCATTCAACAGCGCGAGTATCCACTTCCGTGCAGCATGTTGTATCCAAACCAACTCGGCATGTTAAGTAGAGCGGTTGCTAGCTTGCCAATATCGTTGCACAAATCATGAACTGCACATCTCCAACGACGACACCCCTGCCCCGCCCCCTTCCTTTCCCCCCGATTGAAGAAACAACTGTAACAGCGAACCGAAACATGAAGTCCTAAATACAACCTACAACTCTGTCCCGAGTGCTTGGATGTCAGTTCATAATTTAACTAAACTCATCATAAGAGTAATAGCAAAACTACTTGACGTAAATTTGCCTAGAGTTGGTTCTGCAACGTTCTGTAAAGGATACGCAACTAACCATCATAAGAGTATGGCAACAGGAAAGGCGGAGTAGGGAAGAGGCAGAGAGACACTAAGAAAGAAGATGCAGGACAGTTTGACGTCATGGTGTGGTTGCACGCTGTTTCAGAATATACTGAAAGTACACGAGACAGAAGGCTGTTGAAAGACGACTGCCAACGTCACAGGGCATCGACTATAAGGCAGCGGAGAATAATTTGGATCACCCACACTGGAAGGAGGCACTCTACATGATCTTGCCAGCCACACTGTGAGAAGGGGCAAACTGTGATCCTTTGCGAAAACAGGGAGTTGAAAGGAAAAGAAGAGGCACAGGATACCAACACAGGTGAAGTACAGTTTCGCATCATGGCATGGGGGACCATCTGTGTCACAAATGAATAAAAGCACACACGACAGAACGCCGTGAACAGAGATGACTACCAACGCCATTCGGCACTGGCTATAAGGCATCAGGCCTTAGATAACAACCAGGCCTTAGATAACCACCAAGCATCATGTCTATATTTAGAAAGTTACACATCGACTGCAAACATTGAGTCATAGACCATCTGTGGTGCCCATTGTATCGATCTATACAAAACACCACCACTTTTTCCGCGCTGTGTCTGAGATAGCCAACAACTTGGCCGAAATATCGAAAGTCGCTTGCTAAACAGACAAAAAATAAGACAGTTCCAAGCCTGTTCCAGGTAACAAACATACTTTTCTGTCTTAAAGCGCATAGTACGACAAGCACATCCGATGACCTAATGATAAACAAACAACAATGGGTTCCGACAGCTTTGTTTACATTACTCATTACTGTTATCTAAATCAAGAAGCGACTGGCCCAACGGTTAAGATCGATGAGCTCTCTTGTGAGAGACCCAGGTCTGAGACCTCGGTAAGGCCATGGGTTTGTTTGCTTTCTGTCGGAGGAAAAAAATACAATCCTAACCGCACAGTCCGTAGCGGCTGCACTAACTACGTGGTCTTAAAACCCCAGACTCAAAGACCGCACCTGCCTACACCGAAATAGTGATAAGTACAGGCAGTAATGTAGACTGGTCAAACAGGTATGGCAGCTGCGCAACTAGACGCTGCCGACCCGAAAGTCTTAGGTTCGAATATGCATCTTGGCGGATTTCTTCGTCAAAACTGACCATGGCTCCCATCCAGTTCGACCAAGCGCATCGGGCTTATGCTACTCATCACACAGCAGATTCTACAACATCGCTCTCAGCTCAACCTGCTTGAAAGAAACTTGGCCTATTGCCAGATCTCTCGAATCGACCACTTTCTTACACAAGGTGTCACTTATATCATGTGTCCATATTCGTGTTGGTAGGCCCCTGCCAATCATTCCTGGCATCACGCCGTTTGCTACTATTCATTTTTTTCCAATCCACCGTGGCGCTTAAAAAAAATCATAATCCGAGACGAGATGCTGTTTACTAGCCAATTTTCCTTTATTTTAAGATCTTTTAGAATGTCAGTTTTTCTCTTCTTTTTTGGCCCATGGTATTCTGAGAATCCTTCTATAGCATTTCAATTCAAAAGCTCCCATTTTCTACCTTAATGACAGTCAATGACTCACATCCTTATGTTTTATAGGGAAGATACATGAGCTCAGAACTGTTACTTTGATTTCTTTGTCCCTGCTTAACCACAGACCGTTAATGCGGTTGTAACAAAAGATGCTAGACTTGTAACATAAGATACTAGACTTGTAACATAAGATGCTAGACATGTAACAAAAGATGCTAGACTTGTAACATAAGATGCTAGACCTGTAACAAAAGATGCTAGACTTGTAACATAAGATGCTATACTTGTTACATAAGATGCTAGACTTGTAACATAAGATGCTATACTTGTAACATAAGATGCCAGACTTGTAACATAAAGTGCTAGACTTGTCATAAGATGCTAGACTCATATTATTACAGACCAATCGGCGCTTAGTAGATGACGTGGTCACCAGCACGCCAGCCGCCGGATTTCTTTCTTGTCTTTCTTGGAGGTCAATAAAAACAGGGACTGACCCGATGTGTCAAAGGCTTGCGAAGTGTTCTTCTGGTACACTATCATCGTAATGATGACAGTTTTCGGCCTAGCTTGTTGAGGCAAGTATATGTTGGCCACAACTCTGTCTCCCTGTCGACTGTAGGTACATACGCTTAGTGAACTGTGAGCCCGTATAGGACTGCATGGTACACTGGCTGTTATTGCGCTGCCGGTACCCCGGTTATAAGTTCTTTGGAGGCTGAACGGGGTATCTGGAATCTGCCTTTTTCGTCTACCGTCTAGATTGATATTTTTTCAATCCTATGGTGGTATTGTAACCCTTTATGTAGTGACCCAGGGTGGTATAGTAACCCTTTAGTAGTGGCTTAGGCTGGCATAGTAACCCTTTATGTAGTGGCCCAGGGTGGTATGGTAACCCTTTATGTAGTGGCCCAGGGTGGTATAGTAACCCTTTATGTAGTGGCCCAGGGTGGTATAGTAACCCCTAATGTAGTGGCCCAGGGTGGTATAGTAACCCTTTATGTAGTGGCCCAGGGTGGTATAGTAACCCCTTATGTAGTGGCCCAGGGTGGTATAGTAACCCTTTATGTAGTGGCCCAGGGTGGTATAGTAACCCTTTAGTAGTGGCCCAGGGTGGTATAGTAACCCTTTATGTAGTGGCCCAGGGTGGTATAGTAACCCTTTAGTAGTGGCCCAGGGTGGTATAGTAACCCTTCATGTAGTGGCCCAGAGAAAATAACCGACCAATCGATCGGTGAACTAAATATAATGTTAATTTGTCAATGTGTTTTGCTTTCGATTTCGATAGCAACGATAACATCACGGTTGGTCACGAGACCAGTGAGGCTTAAGACAATTACACACTTTGGGACATTGTCCAACAGCCGTTTTCGTTGGTCGACCAATAACAGACAAGATGATGCAATTTCTCCTATATTCTAAAACAGATCCTAGTTTTCATCAACTGGCACCATGACTGAAGGATATGCATTCACAATTTTTCTACTTCTGGCGGAAATGTTAACATCCCAAAATGTCGCCGGTAAGTAATAACTAATGAGTTAGTTATTCTACCTGACGCTGCTGATGTTACTACGACAGCTGTTGATGCTCTTGCTCCGACTATTACTACCAGCACCGCCAAAACCACAAACACTACTACTACTGCTGCTACCATACTACTACTACTACTACTACTGCTACTAACTACTAACCATTAATTACTAACTACTGCTGCTGCTGCTGCTGCTACTACTACTGTTTATTAACGATGCATAATTTGTGTTGAGTAAATTCAGCTATAGATAGGTATGCAGCCGGTAGGACACACTGGTATACAGAGTCACACAGAGAACGGTGGACGAACGGACCGGAGGACAAGAGAATTAACAACCCCGAGTGTTATCGTTTTCTCATTAACGATACCAGTTCACCGTTTGCTCTTTGTCTTTCGCACATTGCATGATGCAATTAGTCCAGAAGAGACCCGGCGCGACACAATGACAACTTGGAAACTGTCCCCTTGCCAATCATGATGCAGTTTGCCCCGGATCTGTTTTACAAGACCCCAGCAGGCCAAGCACGAAGATGTCGACACGGCACGCAGACACCGGTCAATACTGCTCCCGTCTCCTACCCTTGATTTGTGTGTCCGTGGGTCATGAAGATTAACACAGAAAAACATGTCTTTATGGCGCTGGTCTTAAATCTTTTTAATTCAGGGGGCGTCCACACCCACGCCCCCACCCCCCCCCCCGCACCCAACATAACAGAAGGTGTGGAGTGGAGTGGGGGGGGGGGGGGTAAATCCCAATCACTGTTAACAAGAACTTAGAGAAAAACATCCAAACAAACAACGTGTCAAATAACAAAAAAAAAAAAAAAAAACAGTCATCAACAACTTCTAATTGACACTGTTTTGTCTTGATGATATCTACTATTTCTAGTCTGATGCTTGAGAAGGCGCAATGCAGATCACTCCCCACATCAACCTGGCAATGATGTTTTCTTTTCACAACAAGCTAAACATCCAGATAATTAATTACAAGTACGAATGCACTCAAAATTCAAAATTGCTTGACACCCCCCCCCCCCCCTCCCTTTTGAAACTTCTTAACGCTCCCCCAACCATCCGAGGCTGGAGATCAATGCTCCATGGAATCAAACGCCGCGGAAGCGTAGTGAATCTCGGGTTCGAATACACGGATTTAGGAGGTAATGACATTGGAAAATGGTGCTTTCCTTTTTACTGTACTGTAAAAATCGACCTTAACTGTTACATTTCTCTCACTCAGGGCACGTGATATCCGCGTGCTTCAGCAGCAACAAGACCCTGGACATCGACTGTGGAGCCGGCCACATGGTCCACATCACGAAAACCTTCTACGGGTTCAGTCCCACTGGTCAGTGCCAGCTGGTGGCAGCCGAAGCCGACAGTGGCTGTACCTTCGATGACCAGACTCGCTACCCATGTATCGGCCACAGAACCTGCAGCATCAACTTGCCCACCGGGCGGCTGGGGATCAACGTCCCCGCTTGTGGCCAGAGGAGCAACTACTTCCAACTGGAGTATGTCTGTGTTTTAGGTGGGTACTGTCAGCCTTCCTTCCTGTCTGTCTGTCTGTCTGTCTGTCTGTCTGTCTGTCTGTCTGTCTGTCTGTCTTTCTTTCTTTCTTGCTTCCTTCCTTTCTTCCTTGCCTGCTTTCTTTCTTTCTTTCTTTCTTTTGTTCTTTCTTTTTCCTGGCAAATACGGTCTTACTCCTGCTTCTTCTTCTTCTTGTTCTTCTTCTTCTTCTTCTTCTTCTTCATCTTCTTTTGTCTTCCTTGAAAAAGTATGAGTGTGTTGTTAACAGTTAAGCAGCGATATGTATGCCTTTCGGTCCAGCCCATCCGATTTCAGTATGCTCCCTGTCTATTCCCCTCCCACAACCAAAAATCTTCGATGTTACCCGTCACAAGTACCCAAAGAATGTAGATCTAATGCGGGTAATCACGTTTCTTCGTAGGTTCACTTGATTCTATCTCCACCGTGCTTTTAAAAAAATAAGTTTTGCATACGCTATTTTTAGGGTCCAAGTAAAATAAAAAGACCAGAAATTGTTAGTGAAACTGAGGGTAAAATCCTGGTGAGTAACAAAATAGCACAATACTAATCAACAACAAGCTACTTAAAAATGCAGCATCGCTATTAATGTGATTGCAAAATCAGCGGGTAAGCGAACTGATGACCTTATCACGTACAGGTCTGACAATAATTGAATACAAGTGGCTAGAAGTTGCTGGTGTAGCGACTATTGTACTATTTAAACTACCTGGTCCGTGCAGAAAAGCCTGGTACGCGCATATAAAGCGCATGCGCGCATACACAGGAAGTATCACTCATGTGAAATATTTAAAATCTGGACCCATCAGGGTAATGAAATCTTCCATTACAGGTGTATTTCTGGGCGCAGGTTGTGCCTAGCAGGTGCTCAACATTGCCGTGTTTTTTTTTTTTTTTTAAACAAACACGGCAGGAAGTGGGGCCCACTGGGTGGGGAGGGAATGTGAGAGAGTACGTATGGATGAGTGAGAGATTGTGGGCGTGAAAGGGGGAAGCGCGTGTGTGAAGGAGTGTATAAGAGAGAGAGAGAGAGAGAGAGAGAGAGAGAGAGAGAGAGAGAGAGAGAGAGAGAGAGAGAGAAGAGACGAGAGATCGAGTTTATGAGTGTGATAAATGGCAACAATTAAGTAAGTGTATGTTGTGTGTGTGTGTGTGTATATATATATATATATATATATATATATATATATATATATATATATATATATATATATATATACCCTATATATATATACATCTCACCCTATATATATATATATATATATATATATATATATATATATATATATATATATATATCATTATATATATAAGCTAGACGCTTGTCTGTCGGTCCGAAGGTACTGTATTTCCATCCGCAATAGAAGACATTTAACTTTAGCAAGTCATTTACCGTGAGATGGATTGAACTCTTCCCCCCCCCCCCCCCCCCCCCTTCCCACGGGGATTTGAACTCACACTCTCTCTCTCTCTATCTCATATATCTCGCCCCCCCCCCTCTCTCTCTCTCTCAGATTGCAGAAGGCTGAAGCAAAACTCAGCACTGGGAGGAAAAGTATTAGTAAAGTAAGTACAATAAAGGTCCCTTTCCCTCGCCTTCAGGTGTTTTTGGCCTACAGGACTAGACCTATATCGTGTAGACCAATCGGTACTCTGTGGGTGATGTGGGCGGCCGCCTTTTACTTCCTAGGACTGTATCTCGTACCCACTCAAGGCCAGGTCCACCGTAGAGCCAAACCTACGAATTAACGATCTGCGGCGAGCGTCTAGCTGCCACACCACGGCGGCTCTCGAGAAAAGTCTTGGCCAGATCTAACTCGCTAAAGCAGACAAATCACCAAGCTTATGATTGGCTAGTTGAATTCCTCTCTTTTGTGTCGTCTTAAATTCTCCATGTACGAGTATATGCAACAAACTTCAGGTCCAATATGGCGGTTAGGCGCCCGTCCAAAATGGCGGTTAGGCACCCGTCAATTAAATCCCTGAAGTGACTTCTGCTTGTGGCCACGATTTGCTTACACACTTTCTACTCATAGAATGCAGTCCACGGTTTCGTTGCATAAGCCACTGAATGAAATACTTAGTGCTGTGAGCTGTATATTTCGAGTGAAATTCCTGTCGTCTGTGCCTACAGGCAAATGAAGCACATATTATGTTGTGTGTTGATATAAATGACCAGCTTTCTTCACAATGTTCAGCCCAAACGTTAACAGTGCAATAACACACCACAAGTTATTAAGTATACGCAGAGAGCAGTTGCTATACTTCACGCCAGTTGCTCCGTGCGGTTTTTTTTCCCAACATCCCCGAAGCGAGAGCTTTTGGTTATACTTGTGACTTAGGTTACTTTAGCCATTTAAAATGGCTTCACATTGTTCCCCAACAAGTAGCCTAAAAAGGACTCCTACAGCGTTGATGCGACCAAGGGAGACAGACCCAAACACTGTCCCGACCGACGACAAAGTCGTCTACTGGCCAGCCAATGGGCGACCGGTTGCCGATGTGACCGCTGCTTTGGCAGGGATAGGAGTTAAGAAGCTGAACTTGACACGTCATCCAGACACGCTGCCATGGTTACTGACGACGCTGTCTAACAATCACACACCATAAACATTGAGTTTCCAGAATAAATAGTTTAAAAAAAAACACAATTTCTTTCATTAAATTAGATCAATGGTTCTTAACCTTCATAATGCTGCGACCTTCAATACAGTTCCTCATGTTGTGGCGACCCCCACCCATACACTTATTTTCATTGCTACTTCATAACTTCAGTGAATATGTATTTTCCCAGTCTTTTGCGACCCCAGTGAAAGAGTCATTCGAAGCCATTGGCTGGCTAGTAGACGACTTCGTCGTCGGTTGGGACAGTGTTTGGGTCTGTCTCCCTTGGTCGCATTAACGCTGTAGGAGTCCTTTTTCTCGACCCACAGGTTGAGAACCGCGCATTAGATATTCACTGCGAAGTCAGGCGTCAGATCTGATTACTTATCCAATCACATTACGGCTCACTGCAGACAGTGATTGGCTGTTTGGATAAAGTTAACTCGTTGATTACGCCTCCGTTTCCATTTGAAACTTACATGACTAGTTTAACTCTCAATGAAGAAATAGCAGGCAGGTTCCTTATGCGATACCCGTAGGTACTACAAGCTCTCTCTCTCTCTCTCTCTCTCTCTCTCTCTCTCTCTCTCTCTCTCTCTCTCTCTCTCTCTCTCTCTCTCTCATCTATATCTCTATGATTTCTCTATCTCTCTTTAATCTCTCTCTCTTTCTCTCTCTCATATATATATCTATGATTTCTCTATCTCTCTTTAATCTCTCTCATCTATCTCTCCTATCTATCTATCTCTCCTATCTATCTATCTATCTATCTATCTATCTATCTATCTATCTATCTATCTATCTATCTATCTATCTATCTATCTATCTATCTATCTATCTATCTATCTATCTATCTGTCTGTCTGTCTGTCTGTCTGTCTGTCTGTCTGTCTGTCTGTCTGTCTGTCTGTCTGTCTGTCTGTCTGTCTGTCTGTCTGTCTGTCTGTCTGTCTGTCTGTCTGTCTGTCTGTCTGTCTGTCTGTCTGTCTGTCTGTCTGTCTGTCTGTCTGTCTGTCTTGTCGGTCGATCTACCTACCTACCTACCTACCTACCTATCTATCCATCATTCTAACCATCCATCCATCTACCTGTCTGTTTGTCTGTCTACTCATCTGTCTCTGTGCCTGTCTGCCTGTCCGTCTAATCCTCATGTCACTTGTGAAGACTGCATTCAAAGTAATATTATTCTGACAGATGAACCTGCTGCGCTAATATCAGTTTAATAACCTTTGGTTATATCTTTACCACGTAACATTTTCAAACTCACACGATTAGCTATTCAATATTGGATACAACTACAGCTCAGGCCCCCACCAACTCTACCCGTGGCTACTACCGCCCACCCCCTCGGATCGTTTCAGCGCACCCCCCCCCCCTCCCCCTCCCCACGGGGCTGTGTCGCATTCTTTTGAAGTTGAAAAAAAAAAAAAAAAAACGTGGCCTCGACCCACCGTACTCTGTATTGTCTCCTTATAAGACATGGATCTGTAAAGGCGTTTTTGGTGCTTGGGCATATCATGTCGGGCTTTTTTGTCACCAGTTAGTACTCGATGTCTGATGATAAGTCAACAACACCCAAGCCGTATTTACATGCCGGTGGCATTATCTAACACCCATTTTAAGCTGAGCGGATTTAGTGCCAAGATTAGTTTTGAGAAAATAATCCGCCTTGATGCAGATTTGAACCCTAAACCTTCAAGTGAGCGTCTAGCCTTTATACTGCCGCGGCCCTCGAACTGGGTATTGGGGATAGATATCGTGAGAACCACTGCGCGCCGACTTGAAGCTTTGAACCAAAATCTATAGCAGTAAAAGATCCCGCTTCACTGAATTTGTTAGTTTTATCTTTCGCTATAGATTTGTCTTAAAGGGTGGAAACAACACCTTTTACTACTCACACCCGAGGAGCTGGCTAAGAGAACCAGGGGTTTCTTGGAAGGTGCTGAAAAGAATACAGCCCGCCAAAGCATGAAAGCTTTAATGGGAAATGTGTGTTTATTGAAAACGGGCATCAATCAACTTCCTTTTTTCAGAAAGAGGAAAGAAACCAAGAACGACGAACCAAAAGTGTAAAGTATTAACCCATTCGATTGATTCCAGTTTACTACTGGGTAAATTACAACTAGTGAGAGAAATTTATACCGTACAAATCAACTTAACTTTGCGACCATTTGTAACTCCACACTGAAATATGATTCGTAACACGGCGTGACACCTTATCCAGTTTGTAACATGAATCTATTCTACCTCAGCTGTTACTTTACTTTGTCCACTATGGTTATTATTTCAACACTTCAGACTCGATTATCTATTAGTTTGAAGAAGATTTGCACCTAGGTATCTAGGGCTTAGTCCGTCTCCAATGATGCTTCTTACTGTTGTATGTGATTGTGTTTCTTGTTTTCATAGGAACCACCTGGGGAGTGGGTCTATTTTTCTCTACCTTGCTAGCAATCTTGCCTTTCTAATTTAAAGGATTTATTGGCTCCCACTGTCACCGTCTGTCTGATCCGATGATTATGAGAAAAACCCTGAAGCCACACGATGACACGCAATGTTTAAAATATTGCATTAGGTTTTTTTTCCTAAAGAACTTACAATCTGTGATTTGCCATTGCCCAAATGGCCTACGCAACGCACTATTTATATGACGAAAACTACTGAAATATGATGTTAATATGCAACATGTTCTATGTTTCATACAAAGTGTGTAAGTGTTTAATTCTAATGCCAAACCAGTACTCTTGTTTATGTTCGCACAGCTGATCAACATCATGGCACAAGGGTGGTAACCCATAAGTGCTTTGTTCTATTTCTAACTTGCCTCAGTCCGAAGAATCTCAACGCAGTGCACGAGCACCATAGCACCAGCGAGGACCCTGAAATACTTTGGGTAGATTTGTAACTCGAAATTTTACCCCGGCAGCGACGTTAGGCTACTCTTTTCGATTTCCAACTACCAAGGGCTTTTTACCTGCGCCACAATATACACGGCCGTCCCGTCTTACTATCTAGAGATCAGTGGAAATTACTAGAAGTCCACGTGAAATATGCACAGCCTTCACCGGGGATTAAACACGGGACCTCCAGCACTCGAGGCGGACGCCATGCCTCGAGACCATGCAGCTTACAATCAGTACTCTTGTGTGTACCAGAAACACGGGGAACAACTAAAGCAATTATTATTGAACTACAAACACGCATTAATTAACTGGTGCCTGCGCAGAATAGATGGAATTAAATGTTATGATAGATTCACTTATGTAGAGCTGTGGGAGAGGTGCATAATTTACTTATCTCCTTGTGAGATGCAATTTTTCTTTATTTCAAAGCCCTACCCTGGCTCTTGTCAGGGGCTGCAAAATAGCCCGACCATAAAAATGGTCTAATGGCTGAACGCAGTTTCTGGGACCTCTCCACGGTGATCCTCATCCACATGGTGACACTTTGTGTCATCGGGTGTTTATGGCTTGTGTGGTGTCCTAGTGGGGTAAAATCTACTACTACTACTACTGCTACTGCTGCGGCGGCTGCTGCTGCTACTACTACTTTGGGAGAACAATCGTTTAAAATACATAAAAGTCGTCTCCATGTGGGATGCAATTTATTTTAAAATTTGAAGCCCCGCCCTGGCATTTCCCTGGGGCCCTGAATATAACCGGGCCATATAAATATATGGCCTCACGACTGAAAGGGGTTTCTGGGACCTCTACACGTGTGATCCTCATCCGCATGGTGGTATCTTGTCTCACTGAGTGTTTATCGCTTGTGTGATGTCCTGGTGGGGTACAACTAACTACCTACCTTTGGGGAGAACTAAATAAGTTTGTTGACCAATAGGTGAAACAAAGACGGTGGCGTTCGATAAGACATACGTTAAGAAAAAAAACTGAGAGCTATGTAACTAGAATGTCTTTGCACTGGAACCCACAGGGGAATAAAAATAAAGAAAGAACAAAAACAAAACAAAACACACATGGAGAAGGGAGCTAGAGAGTGAAGTTAAAAAGATGGGGGAGGACATGGGGAGGACATGGGGAGAGCTGCATGCGATAGCGAAGGATAGAATGACTTGATGTGAATTGGTTGAGTGTATATGCTCCAATGGTGGGGGGGGGGGGGGGATGCAGAAGAAGAAAATAAGGGTGACGCGATTTTTACTGCAACATCGCCTTCGTGGTTGGTAATTAACAACTGATTCTACGAAAGACGTGAATGAAAACAAACACACAATGTTTTCGTTTTCGTAGACTCAATTACATGTACAACCAGTACAGGACAGCCAAGCCAGCACAATTTATATTTCTCTGTGGTGGTGTGTTTTTAGGGACCCCGCCTGAAATTATCGGCAAAACACTGGAAGAAATGAAAAGCTTATTATGTCAACGAAAAGCCTTTTAGAGCATTGAAATACAAAGACTGCGGTCATCCTAAATATTCTTTACACGGGGATGCCTGTTCGTCTTCAGTTTCAATTGTACCACGAGATCAGGTAATAATGACATTGAACAGGTGGGGATTGCCTTCTTATCATACTCATCATCTTCATCTTCATTTGCGTAAAGGTGGCAACCGATGTGTCGTAACGTTTGCTAGCACAATATTGATATCTCTCGATCGATTCATCAGTTACATGTACTAGTGGGTAGGACCAATGAGCTAGGTTGAAGATACGAGTGGCGAGTGATAAGACAGATGCAAGTGAGATGTAAATTAGCCGACTACAGTATTCAAACAAAAGGAAAAACAGCTACCATGTTGGTGGCGATTACATGGTCAAACGGGCAAAATTAAACATCCTAGCATGCACAGTCTGTGGCAACAACACTAGTCATGCGGCCCTAAAAGCTCAGGCTCACGGACACCCCCCCCCTCCCCCGTCTACAACGCCCTAAAAATGTGGTAAAACAGAAAGCTGTGACTGTTTTTGACATAGTAAAACCGGAGACAGACACCATATAGAGACACACACCGTGTAAGAACAGCTTGCTTTGTAAAATGGGCATGTAGTATCTGTTTTTCTTCCTCTCTGTGTGTGCGCGCGCGCGTGCGTGACAAACACTGAAATATCCATTTATTCTATTCAGCAAGCTCTGTGCGAGACATATGCGGCACCGGGCAGATAACAGCACAGAATGGTTATGTCGTGACTCCAAGTTATCCCGCCAACTACCTGGAACAAGTAAGTAATGCGTCTGTAGTACTCTCATAAAGAATTGTTTTCGTACATTACTCACATGTAGCTAGACGCTGCCTGCCAACACAACAGTTTTGAGTTCGAGTCCGCATTCAAGCAGATAAAAAAAAAAGATTACCCTGGCTCCTAGGTATCCCAGCCTAAAATTAGTATCGGGAAATGTTTTTGGGAAGTAAAGGCGACTGGCGGGATGTTGACCTATCGCTTATTGAATTCCGCTTGGTCTATGGAAATATGGATCCAGTACCGTATGTCTGATGTCTAACTGGCACGAAAAGGGTCCTTAAGTGGGTATTTTACTCTTCAGGTGGGCTCCAGGACCCCATCTGGGGGGGGGGGGGGGGATAAGAACAGACTCACTGCCCCTAATACACAACCAATACACAAATAAGGCAAGAGTATGCGTCTAATTTTATACGAAAACGTCGCTGGAACTATGTCGGCCACGCCCTTAGAATGGATAAATCAAGACTTCCTTACCAAGCCCTCATTTGGACACCACAGGGGAAAAGATCTCGTGGAAGACCAAGGGAAACCCTACGTAGAACTGTCATCAGGGAAGGCTCGCTCATGGGCCACTCAAACATCCAAGACCTTCAACAGATTGCAACGAACCGCCATGCACAGAGAGTCATTACCTCTGCCCTATGTGCCGCACTCGACACAAGAGGAAAGACTAACTAACTGCCCCTAACTAGCATGTCGTAGAAGACGACCAAACACGGGGGTTTAACTTGAAGTAGGAGCGCACTGAGGGGGCAAGAAACCTACAGTCTACATACAAATAAGCCAGATCTGTAAAACTGACGTGCACGCAAAATTCAGGTTCTAGAGCAAGTACAAGGTCCAAAAGAGGAGAATAACCAGAACTTTCTGCTTGAGGTTACAGCCAATGAGCGCAAGGAAGACAAGAAAGAAAACTTTACTTCAATTACTGACATTCCGGAAACTACAAACAGCCACCAGGGAGAATATTAATTTAACTGCACAATCAATCAGCGTTGACAACTGGTGACTTCATCTGGAAAAAATTACTACAGGCACATGCTAGCTGTTTGTTTTATATAGCAATATTTCATTTAATGTTAAAACTTCATTTACTTCTCGGACATCGTGCTGGTTTCACACACAAAATAATAGAAGACGGCACAGAGCAATAATTATATTTGAAAACAATGATTTCATAAACAGATAAACATCCTACAGTTCCGCAGCAAGGGAAGTGCACTCTATACGCCTGGATACAATCTTCAGTGATGCGCAGGGGAATAACTAGAGGAGCTGGCAGACACCCAGAATCAAAACTGAATGAATGAACACAGACTTCTGTCGATTGGAAAAGTTAACCTGGTCAACCAATGCTTCATAGAGTCAGATGTGTCGGCTAAAAGGCGCACATATCGTAGCTTTGCTGTAAAAAGGCACACTGCATTTACTTCACTAGGACGAACGAAATAAAAAAGAAAGAAGAAGATTTATGTTGAACATATTAGTATGTCTACTCGACCACGGTCATGGTCAAGCCCGCCTAGTACACCATAACTAAATAAGTTAACAATGTCTTCTGTGGAACACCTCCGATATCCGTTCTACCACAACTGTGCTCAATTCCACGCAGAAAATCAAAATTAAATGAGTTAACACTGTCCGCTCCCCCCCACCCACCCACCCCCACACCCACCCCCCACACACACACACACACAAACACACACACACACACAAATCAAAATTAAGAGTTTAACACTTTTTTAAAATTAAAACACCAGTATACCTGTTCTACCAACAATTGTGTCAACCCCAGGCAAAACCAAAACTGAATGAGTTAACACTGTCTTTCTATGGAAACACCAGGATGTCTGCTCTACAACAATTGTGGTCCACCCCACGCAAAAAATCAACCTCAACATCATCGATATGGAGCTGGAAGAGCAAGGGAAGACCGACTGTGCTGACCTACTCTACTTCAATGACAAGCTGAGGAGCATCACCCTGTGTGGCCAACGCAGAAACAACAGCTACAACATGCACACCAACTATCTACAGCTGGAGCTCCGGTCCACCAGCAGGGGGCACAGCAAGGGGTTCTGGCTGTATTATGAAGGTATGAGATAACCGAGTTCAACAGTAAGGTTGCAGTTTGAACAACGGATCAACATCATGGCACACGGGTAGTAACCCATAAGTGCTCTAATTTAAGTCTGAGTCAGAAGAAGCTCAGCACAGGGCACTTACTCTGTAGCACCGGCGAGGATCCTGTAATACTTTGGGTGAATTTGTAACTCAAAATTTTGCCCGGGCAGAGCCTTTAGGCTACTCTTTTCGATTTCCAACTATCAAGGTTTTTTTTTTTAATGTGCGCAACAATGCACAGGGGCGTCTGGTCTCACTACCCAGAAACCAACAGAAATTACTAGAGGTCCAAGTTCACGTGAAAAAATAAGCCGTTACCACGCATTGAACCTGGAACCTCCAGGACTCGAGGCGGATACCATGCCTCCAGACCACGCAGCCCCCTGAGTTCAATAGGAAATGAAATAATAAAGAATACCAGGGGCGCTGCATCGGGCTGTAGATCAGTGGTATCATTAATTATGTACTGAACACCTTGGCGGGTGAATATTAAAACAGGCAAGCAGACTTCCTGCTGCAAAAACTGTACACATAAAGTTGACTTGGATCAATAAGACAGGCAGGTACATTGTTGGTAATGTTTGATTTGGGTCAACTAGACAGGCAGACAATCTATATTGCTGGTAATGTAATGCTGCTTGATTTAGGTCAATCAGACAAGCAGACACAGATATATTGTTGGTAATTTAGAATGGGATCAAAAGACAGGCAGACAAAGAAACTTTGTTGGCAATGTTGTTGATGTAGATCAATCAAGCAGGCAGACAAATGCGGCATTTTGGGAAAGTAAAAGGTATAAGGCCACGAAGAAGATGGATGGAACAACGTGGAAGGAAGTGTACAGTAACTCAACATAAACACAGATTGTACTTGCAGCAACAGGTATTACAAGAAGTGATGAGAGAAACAAAAAAGAACTACTATAGTAGTAGTAATAGTAGCAGCAGCAGCAGCAGCAACAGCAGTAGTAGTTATACCAGCTGTTGCAGCAGCAGCGGCAGTAGTAGGGGTAGTAGTAGTTGTAGTAGTAGTAGTTGGAGGAGGATTAGCAGTAGCAGCAGCAGTAGTACTAGAAGTAGTAGTAGCAGCAGCAGTATGAGCCTTAAGGCTAGTAGAAGTTAGCAGTAGCAATGGCGTAACAAAGGTATGGCAGGTAGGGCAGATGCCCTGGGCATCGCTTGAAATGGGGTGCCCAAAACCTCAATTTAAAAAAAACATCGGGGGGGGGGGGGGGTGAAGGTTACAGTGCCGCTTACATTCACAAAGATTTAGACTCCTTGACCATAAAAACGTGTCTCTGGAATATGCAGTAATAGCCGACAGATATTATTCATTGAACACAAATTATACAGTTTAACAGTATATACCCAGTAAATGTTTTCTATCCTTTGAATTTTACTTGCAGAGGCTTAAATAAGCTTCCTAATTATGTGTTACAAAGTCTTTAAAAGTAGCTCTAAAATTAAGTAAATTACAAAACAGAACATTATCACACCTGCTATTGGTGGCAAATACCCCAGGTATACCACCGCATTTGCAGTGGTAGCAGCAGTAGCCAGAGCATTAGACGCAGTAGCAAATGTAGTAGTAATGTGGTGGCTAAAGTCTGTAAGGCGTCTTGTCAAGGTTCTTTAAAATATCACCATCTCCAGTGCCACAGACACAATACGAGTGGCTACAGAAACCACTTTATGAGATGAGAACTCAATGAACACTTTATATCCCACTTATAACCCTGAGGGTACAACAGGATATTTTTGTGTGAAAATGAAGACTACTACTACTACTACCAATTTTCTTTACTAAATAAACTAAGGGAGTACCCCCAATAATGTGTTTTTAAACTGAATATTATAATCCTATTGTGTTAACTAAGAGATATTATTTACTGGTTGACTCTTACAGCTGTCCCACCTCTGCCCACCATTCGACAGTCCCCGCTGCCTCAGACAAACCCAGTAACAACGGCTCATCCTAGTGATGCCACACTGAAAGACGACCAGGGCAGGGGAAGCAACCTTCTCACCACAACCACATCCAGCAGAATGAATTACAACAATACAGTTCTCTTATACCGGAAAGTCAACAATTCAGGGAAACAGCTGTCGTTTGGTAAACCTTCTCCCTCTTCTTCTTTCTGTTTTCACGCTCAAAATGGCGTTGGCACAATGTATTGTTGTTTAAAGCAAGGCTGAGATATTTGAGCTTTTCAGCCGAAAACATCAAATTTTCATGATATGCTTGTTCGGGGGACAGGGGACAGCGGCTCATGTATTTCCCCCCCCCCCCCCCCCCCCAGGAACGACACAGCCTCTTATTCAGTCATGACAAATGTGAACAACATGCAGATAGTTTAGCATCTGGTAAATGATACTCTAGCGTTTAGTGAATCCTCTTGTTCAGAACATGATAAAAGGGAATTATATTTAAAATAATTGAGCATTTGGTAAATGATCTAATCTAGTATCCAGACATGATAGATGTGAACTAAAAAAAAAAAAAAAACTTTAGCATTCACTAAATGATCTTAAACAGATGTAACGTAACAAATGTGAACTATATGAAGATCATATAGCCTTTGGTAAATGACCTAACCTCCAATCCAGGCATGACAAATGTGAACTATATAGAAGATACTCTAGCATTTAGTAAATGACCTAATTTCTTATACAAACATGATATATCTGAACTATATAGAAGATAATACAGCAAAGCATATCCCTTATTGCAAAAGTTATGCATGTACGGATTAATGCATACAGCTTATGTGTGTACATTTATATATATGTGTGTGTGTGTGTGTGTTTTTTTGGCGCGGGAGGGGGGGGGGGGATTTAATTGCCTGGGAGATACAGTAGCCTGCTGGCTAGATGCTTGCCTACCAACCTAGTCTTGTAATCTTAGTTTCAGTTTCACAGAAAATGGGTCAGCCTTCTGTGCTAACAAAAAACACAGAATGTCATCACTGTCCCTTGTGAAAAAACTGACACAGAAAGCAGTCTCAGCATGTCCAGCAGTATACGCAGGCATTAAAAGCATAAGACAGCTATCAGAAATGCTAATACAAACAGTCCAACATTAGAAGCTCATCATTGACGGAAGCAGCAGTTACAAACAGATCGGCAAATTCATTTGCACACGCAATCAATCGTATTCACATAAGGCACCACCTATTCTGTGCCAACAAGCCACGTGCCATTTTCTGAATCTGCAGTTTAAAAAAACCATGTTAGTCACACACGGAAAACATTGCAAATGAAATCCACAGCTCACAGTGTGGTGCCATGCACTCAACTGGACAAAACTATATCCTTTTAGTCTATAAAAGGCAGAAAATGCAAGGGCCACTGTCTGAAATTGTCGTCCAATGAATATCTTCATTCATTAACATAAAATGCTTGATATATAAAGTGCAACTCTTAGGTTTTAAAGGGCCGAATGTAAGACAGGCCTGCAGGCCCAGTTTGTGACCCTGTGGAAATAAAGTTTGTCTGTTTGTTCATAGTCCAACATCACATGTCTAATGTGCCAAAGGAGTGAAAAGGGCCCTTTAGTGAGTATATGTCTGCATGCCTCATGTGCATGTATCAACCACATGTATCAATCCATGCTACACTGATTAACATCATCATCTCCATCCTCAGCTGCCATTGCTGGTGGAGTTATTGGTACTCTCAGCCTCATCCTGTTGGTGCTGCTGATTCTACTGTTCATAAAATGGTAAGCTGTAGTCAAGTATAACATATACCATCATTGCTTGCCTTCTGTAAAACCATACATAATCTTGGTTCTCACTGGTAGTCAAGTATAACATATACCATCGTTGTTTGCCTACTGTAAAACCATACATAATCTTGGTTCTCACTGGTAGTCAAGTATAACATATACTATCGTTGCTTGCCTTCTGTAAAACCATACATAATCTTGGTTCTCACTGGTAGTCAAGTATAACATATACTATCGTTGCTTGCCTTCTGTAAAACCATACATAATCTTGGTTCTCACTGGTAGTCAAGTATAACATATACCATCATTGCTTGCCTTCTGTAAAACCATACATAATCTTGGTTCTCACTGGTAGTCAAGTATAACATATACTATCATTGCTTGCCTTCTGTAAAACCATACATAATCTTGGTTCTCACTGGTAGTCAAGTATAAAATATACTATCGTTGCTTGCCTTCTGTAAAACCATACATAATCTTGGTTCTCACAGTTGAGAGGTGACAGATATCACAATTTCATATTTGTCAACTGAGAAGAGACGGAGTCTCAAGAGACGTATAAAGCCAATAATGATGTACAAAACTGAACGGACGGTGGACAATTGTAAAAAAAAAAGGTAAAGTTGGGAGATGTGAACCAGCGTCATTGCATACGGTTATAAACCATAAGTGCTTTGCCACCAGTACAGACAGCTGATAAGAATTGTCCGCCTGTGCCGCTGTTTGCACTAACTCTGTAGCTCCATTTACCCCAGTAAATCATATGGATGATGAAGATAATGGTGAGAATGACATAGGGAAATAGAAACTGTAGGAAACACTAATTCATAAGTAAGTAAGTAAAGATCCCTTTTCATGCGTTAGGCATCGGCCATATTTTCACAGACCAATCGGCACTAGGTTGGTAATGTGGTCAGCATTACGCCAGCCGTGTTTACTTCCAGAAGACATCCAACCTGGTACCCATTTTGGGCTGGGTCAACCTGCGACGCAGTGGGTTTCAATCACGGTACATTGGAATTACGACTCGCAACGCCTAAGCCAGGGACGACATTAACACATAAGACTTAATCCAAAATGAGCCCTAGCATGATTTTTCAGGATGTTCTTAATATAAGAACTAGTTAATTTAAGATAATTAGCCAGAAAGACAGAATGCATTTGCCTGTTAAAACACATGACAGATGTATTGAGTTATAAAGTTATAAATAAATGAATCAGGAACTGATATTTTGGACATTCTTA